ATCGTAAATACGATCCAATTCATCAGACCTACAAATTCAAAAAAATTGAATTTGTAGGTCTGATGAATTGAATTTGTAGGTCTGATGAATTGAATTTGTAGGTCTGATGAATTGTATCGTATTTACGATTCCAATGGAATAAATTATGACCATGGAATATTAGTGTTTAAGCCTTTTATTATATATATATATATATATATATATATATATATATATATATTTCTATAATAATGGATTCAAAGATGGTGATGTAAATTAAAATATATCTGAGAAGTCTAGAAAAATTGTCACTGGACTACTGTGAGATCTCGTCAGGAAACACCGCTTCTACGTCGACTGCAGTGCACATAATGCCTCTACAACATTACGAGTCACTGGATAAAAAAAGTGTCAATTTTCAGAATATATAAGTTTAATAAGTATATATTAACATAGTTTATATAAATTATATATATATATATATATATATATATATATATATATATATATATATATATATATATATATATATATATACACTGCGCGCCAAATTATTATCGATATAACATTTTGTCTAATATTTCAAAAAACCCTTCAATGAATTCACACACAATTTTCACACAATGTTGGTAACACTGACAAATCACTAAATTTTTCGTACTGATCTGCGCATTGTAAACAAACTGGCGCCATATTTGTTATCAGCACGGTGATCTGAGCGTGCCAAATTATTAGAAAAGTATAAGAATTTTGTGAAAAGATGGGCCGTAAAAGAAGTTTAATTGATGCTGAAAAGCAAACTATCACCTCAGAACTCTCAAAAGGTAAATCTACCCTAGAAATTTCTAAAATGATAGGGAGGTGTCATCAAAGAAAAATGTTCACCGCTGACCCTACACAAGTAGGCAAAGGGGCAGATAAAGGCAAGCCGAGGGTTATTTCACGTCGTCTCATGTCACAATTTAAATGAGAGTCCACGAAGAACTCTGGACTTACCGGTCAAGAGCTTTTCAGTCGCATTGGGGATCCTACTGTGTCTAAAAGTACTCGGTACTCGGTGTCGGTATCTGAGGGAAATAGCAACAACAGTCAAACCTGTATCGAAGCCTCCGTTGACGAGAAATTACATTCAAAATCGATTGAAATGGGCCGATGACAATATGAAGATTGAGTCCTCTAAAGTTTTGTCCACAGACGAAACTCGAGCAACACTTGATGGGCCAGATAGATGGTGCAAAGGCTGGGTAACGAACGTACAGAATCGCCATCAGAGTTTGAGACGCCAACAAGGCGGTGGAGGCATAATGATCTGGGGTGGTATTATTGGAAAACATTAGTGGGGCCATGGAGAGTACCAGATGGCGTCAAAATGACTGCTGATGCACACATATCGTTTATGAAGGAGCATCTTGAACCGTGGATGAAAAAGCAAAGAGTTGCCTTCAGAAGGGCCATTGTTTTTATGCAAGATAATGCTCCCTCACATGCTGCTCACAAGACTACTGAATATTTAAAACAGTTAGGCTTCGATGGATCTCGAAAAATGGAGTGGCCAGTAAATTCTTCGGATTTGAACCCAATCGAAAACCTTTGGGGCATCATGAAGCGAAGACTGTACGCCAACAGACGACAATTCAGGAGCAACGCTGAGTTGTGGGAAGCAATTCTTGACATATCTCGCGGCATTACAGCAGATGACATCCTACAACTAACAAATTCTATGGATCGTCGACTTCTTCAAGTAATTTCAAAACTGAGAAAGCACATTCCCTATTAATTTGTTTAAAACTGTGCCTTTGTTTGTATCTGTTATTATTTGTTTGATTATCTTATTTATTAGCTTCTTTTGATCATAAACATTCACGTGCAACTTTAATAAACGTTTTGTTTGATCAATTCTGGGAATTTTACTAAACCTTTCTAATAATTCGGCACGCTCAAATCACCGTGCTGATAACAAATATGGCCCCAGTTTGTTTAAAATGCGCAGAAAAGTACGTTGTGTGAAAATTTTGTGTGAATTGATTGGACGGTTTTTGAAATATTAGAAAAAAAATTATCTCGATAATAATTTGGCACGTAGTGTATATATATATAAAATATGTATAAAGTATATATATAAAGTATAAAGTTTGGAAAGAAATCATGTGTTCATGCGCCACATCCTGAAAAATGACACGACATTTTTGTTTCATTTGGTTAAAGATATGGCGTATGTTTCAGATTGAGTCATATGTTCCAGGAAGAATCAGTGAAATGGAAACTGAATCTCTTGTAACTATTTATAGAGACTTAATTGAAAATGTTAATGCAAACAAATGTGCCTATTTTGAATAGGAAAGAATTAAACAAATGTTTCAGAAAACAGGTGAATTTTTAAAACTGAAATTGCCTCATAATTTTTATATATACATATATTTTTTGATCTCGTATTTTGTAAAAGGGGTTAAAAAAGAAGAAAAAAGGGAGGTATCCTGTTAATTTTTGTGAAAGTTATTATCAATCTTAAGCATAAATATATCCTCTGTTTCTAAAGAAATTGAAAAGCAGATGAGTCGGTGATCAGCGGTCTTTTTCCGAAAACGACAAGCTACCATGAAAAGAGAACAAGGTAGAACTCGATAATTGAGGCTTTGAAATCAGGCTGAAATATATAGATATCTACCTCTGTTTACTTACATAATAAATAACTTTCTTCTCGGAATTTTTTTTTTTTTTTCGTTTCGGTTTTCCTTTTATGAAAAGACATCTGCGTCAACCTTTTTTTGTTAGAAGAGAAGGGAATTATAGATTCGCTGTCAAGTCAAAAGGTGACATTAATGTGCAAGCAAACTGGGGAATATAGGTTAAGCAGGAAATGCGCAGATGTCAAAAAAAAAAAAATTAAAAAAATGAAGCACGCAGATGTAACGGGCATGCGCAAAATGATTAAAGGGACAACCGGAAAAGAACTTTTTTCAAGGATCCCCCAAAGAAATAATCACTATGGAAAAAAGAAATATTGCAGCTGTGGAAAGAATACATAGAAGAATCCATTTGTAATAATAAATAAGATTAACTAAACACATACAGACAGAGAAAGCAGTGTGATATTCAAATCTGAAATGGCCAAGATAAATAGAGTAACAAGAAAAGAGGGCTTTGGAAACAGCAAAATGGCGAAAGTGTTAAATGGAATATACACCCTTGTGCAAATTAATTGAAACAACCGCTTTAGTTTCCTTTCTTTTAGACACATTCACGTGACTGGGTGTAATCAGTCTATTTTTTCCTCAGATTAGGTCATTTGCAGTAGTCTGTAATATCCCTGATTGCATCAGGTTTTTATTACGCCCAGACACCATTGTCTTTACTGTCGATTAGTTTTCCTATGGCCACTGTCTGCGATGGATGTTACTCCAAGGAGGCGCACGAACATTGTAACGCTGGATGAGTACACTGGCAAATCTTACCAGTGAGCAAATCAAAGTACTATAGACTGGCCCGGAAACTATCCTGATTTAAATCCAATCGAGAATCTATGGTCAATCTGCAAGCAACGACCTTGTAGAATGGACATACGAAGTACTAACATGTGCCCTGGGTCATGTTTCATTGGGAAAATATGAAAAAAGAAAAAGAAAATAATAACGGAATTATTCGTTATATTTCAAGTAATTTGCACCCGGGTGTATTTGGGTGTCATTACTTATTTCATCTTTATGAATCAACCAAACAAGGCAGGAACAAATTTGATTAGTAGAATACTGTGTTGAGAATTTATCATCTATTCACTCCTCTCAGACAGTGTGTCATTTGAGAGAATAAAGATTCTACAACTGAACCCATAGTTAGTGGGAGCAGATTGATTCATGCCTTTCGTAATAATATGAAGGTTGAAAAAACCAGTAAAACTAATCAAACTGTTTCACCAGTATCTGTCTATATTTCTGAGATGAGGTATTATGTACACTATTTACATTATTCGGACTATTGTCCTCATCTTTGTCGCCATATTTATTACAACATTTCGGCCTTTCAGTATCTGTCTATATTTCTGAGATGAGGTATTATGTACACTATTTACATTATTCGGACTATTGTCCTCATCTTTGTCGCCATATTTATTACAACATTTCGGCCTTTCAGTATCTGTCTATATTTCTGAGATGAGGTATTATGTACACTATTTACATTATTCGGACTATTGTCCTCATCTTTGTTGCCATATTTATTACAACATTTCGGCCTTTCAGTATCTGTCTATATTTCTGAGATGAGGTATTATGTACACTATTTACATTATTCGGACTATTGTCCTCATCTTTGTCGCCATATTTATTACAACATTTCAGCCTTTCAGTATCTGCCTATATTTCTGAGATGAGGTATTATGTACACTATTTACATTATTCGGACTATTGTCCTCATCTTTGTCACCATATTTATTACAACATTTCGGCCTTTCAGTATCTGTCTATATTTCTGAGATGAGGTATTATGTACACTATTTATATTATTCGGACTATTGTCCTCATCTTTGTCGCCATATTTATTAAAGACACATGATACAGTGGATAAAGGCGTTAGTTAAATCCAGTGACTAGACCCAAAGTGTGTGAGTTCAATACCCGGTTAAGTCAGTGAAGAACTTTCAGAGGAAAATTAACAGGAGATAACTAATAACTGACATCCATTAAACATGGTACGTGGAACTAGAACGGTCTACGCCAGTAAGCGAAATAAAGGGTTCATTTCGGCATTCCAACCACCTGAAGAAGGCCGTAGCGTATAACGGCCGAAACGTTGTAATAAATATGGCGACAAAGATGAGGACAATAGTTCGAATGATTTAAATAATATAAACTGTTGCACATCGTAATATCTGAAACCAACTGTACATTAAGAGTTTAAATATTTGGGCGGGGGGGTAATTCTTTCATTAAATGTAGACAAAAATTAAAAATATCTAAATATATGAGACGCTGTATAGTTGCTGCACCGATAAAAAAAGAACAAATAATTGTCTATTCGAGATTTATATGTATTTTTTTTTCTTTCTGTTAAAATTGCACTGGTAAGATTAAAAAGCGAACGTGGTGCCAGTGTTTAAGTTCGACCCGCGTCTGCCATTCTGTTATTCATTGCAGACAAACACAATCTTTATTTAAAAGATTTATTTTTATGTATGTCTTGTTGGTTGCCTGGCCAACAGTTAATTTGTGTGACAGTTAATTGCAATGTAAATATCAGGTTTAACGAATTGAATGATCAAACATCGATAACAGATCGATAAAAGAAGTTGTGAAAGTTTTATTGGCATTTGTGGATATATTTCATCCATTTGTCACTATTTTGTTTTTATCTGTTCTTTTGGATGGTTCAGACCCTCAATATTAACCTTTCTCAGTCTACCAGAAACGTTTGATTGGGGATGGTATTGTTTGATTAGGGATGGTATTGTCTGATTGGGAGTAGCATTTATAAACCATAAACATATAAATATGACAAAATGACAGAAGGTTGGTAAACGAAAAACTTCAAATCGATTTTTCTTCCAAATTCTGACCACTTTTAGACGTTTAATATCCCCATCATGTTTTGCAAGTGTTCTTTGATGATTATTATTATTATTTTTATTTTCTTTGATTTCTGGCGTTTACACATTTCTTTCCGGGTCCCGCCCAGGGACCTAAGGTTAGAAATGGCATCATGACACTTTCCACTGACAAAAAAAAAAAAAAAATTATATAGATAAAACCCTTCGTAAAGTGTGGGCTGTACTTGTCAGAACAATTTTTTGTATCTCCTTGAGGCATGGACTTCCAGGAATCTCTTTAATTTGTCTACTGCAATCATTTCCAACCAGTCCTAGGGCTCCAACTACAACAGGGATTGTTGATGTTCCCATATGCCACATTTTCGAGATTTCTATTTCAAGGTCCTTGTATTTTGACAGCTTTTTGAATATCTTCAAAGATACATTGCAGTCAGCAGGGACTGCCATATCAATAAGGAGGCACCGTTTTTGTTTGTGGTCTTTAATAACAATATCTGGCCGGTTGGCCTTGATTGTTCTGTCAGTGTGTATTGTGTAGTCTCATAGAATTGTAACAGGTCCTATCTCCGTAACCGGGTCTGGGTGGTGTTCATACCAGTTTCTTTCAGTTTCCTTCCCGTAGAAGTTGCAGATTTTACAGTGCAGATATTGGCCCACTCTGTCATGTCGGGTTTTATATTCAGTGGGTGCTAACACCGTGCAACCTGATACAAGATGATCAATCGTTTCTGGATATTTATCACAGAATATTTCAGTATATGTGCTTGATAATTCCTAGTTAGCAAGTATTGGTCCTGCGCAGTTTCCGCTTTCAACCCTGCACTACGTAGCCACTGATGGGTACGGGTTTTGTCTACGTCAGCTTGTTTGGTACGGGCAGAGTATTGGCCATGAAGCGGTTTATCTTGCCATCGCTTCTGTATCTGGTCGGTTGCATTCGTCTTTGCTGTCTTTTTTAGGTATTTTGCAGTTTCAGCCGGTGTATTGTGCTGTAGTTGCATCTCTACGCCCATTTGAAACTCTATTTTGAATTTCTTGGCTTCTTTCATTACGGAGTAAAGACGCTTACTACTTTCATGTTCCTTGACGCATACCATCATCCAGTCTTCTGTAGTTTCCAAATATCTTTGGAGGCCAATTGTTGTAGTTTTGTAGGACAGTTCTAGTTAAACTAATCCTCTGCCTCCTTCGGATCTGGGCACATACAGACGATCAACATCAGCTTTGGGATGATGCACGCGGTAGCAAGTGAGAAGCTTTCTCGTTTTGGCGTCCATTCGCTTAATTTCAGCTATGGTCCAGTTAAGGACATTAAAGCTGTATTGCACCACAGGGACAGCCAATGTGTTTATGGCTTATATCCTGTTTTTTGAGTTTAGCTCAGTATTTAGTACCAGACGTACACGCCTGTAGTACTCTTTTCTCATTTTTTCTTTCATTTGGGGGTGTTGTATGCCATCTCCTTCGCTAATTCCTAGGTACTTATAAGCTTCATCATGCTCCAGTTCCCTAATCTTTGTGACAAAATCTAAATCTATTAAGGGTGTTTCTCTAATTATTATTATTATTGTTTATTATGTTATTATTCTGTTATTATTATAATTATTCTGTTATTATTATTATTATTATTATTATTATTATTATTATTATAAACAATATAGAACTACCGTTTTTTAATGTATATTTTCAGAATACGTTTCGGAGGCCCAGATTAATCTGAAATATTAAAAAAAAACAAAAAAGAAAACCAGCACCGTTGTATAGATACACTCAAAATGCACGGTAGAAATACAAAATGGAAGAAGTAATATTTGAATTGGAGTGCAGTCTAATTAAAACAAATAAAACAATGTTTTCAAACCTCCACTTACTTGCGCCCATATTCATGGGGAAAGGCTTTGAGAGTAAAACCTGAGGCTAAAATATATAGCCGGGTTCCCAAGCAGTAGTAATCCTTCCATCTCCATGGATAACAATGGTGGCATGGATAGAGAAGACGTACTCCATGGGCAATTGTTGATCTCCCGTGAAAAAGAATACGTGTCGAAATCTTTTCGCAAAAGATATCATTCCAGCACCGCATCACCTCCGCGCTTAATTTGATAAAACTGCCGCACAGTAAAACTGGTTTGGAAATGGACGGAGTTAAATGCAAATAGGGGACTCGTGTGGTCTGCATGGAATTGGTGGAATCTTTTCTTTTGAAAATTATCAGAAATTGGAGAAAGATTTATATGGATCCTCGGAAATTCCACTGGTCTTAACTTATTTATTATGTTACGTGGTCTTCACTTGCTTTTGTTCTTTTTATGTTGCATTAGGCCAGACATTCAGTGAACCATAATAAAGGCATCCATTGAAAATTAGGATCAAGAAAAATGTTTATCAAAAAATGAACTAATAATCTCGTGCAATCTATTATTGACAATAGACAGTCGTTAATCGTTATGTTGACATTTTCACAAGTGGGGGGGGGGTGCAAAAATCAGTTCGATTCATTACGTCAGATAGATGTTTATATTATTGCATATAAGATTGAGAAGATCTAAGACACATTTTATTCGGACAATTGAATTCCTTCGTGTTCTTCATGTTATTGACAACGATTGGCCGATAAGTTCTTCAGCCTTCGTTAGTTGTGCAAAAAAAAAAAAAAAAAAAAAAAAGAAACATAAAAATTCGAAAAGCCATTTCCGAACAAAATTTACAACTGGGTTCCTTCTTCTTCTTCTTCTTCTTCTTCTTCTTCTTCTTCTTCGCCTTCCTCCCCCTCCTCCTCCTTTTCTTCTTCTTCTGCTTCTTCTTCTTATGCCTTGTTATCCATTTTTCCTCATCCTTTTCTTCTTCTTCTTCTTCTTCCCCTTCCACCTCCCCCTCTTCTTCTTCTTCTTCTTTTTCGCCTTCCTCACCCTCCTCCTCTTCTTCTTCTGCTTCTTCTTCCCCTTCCACCTCCCCCTCTTCTTCTTTTCGCCTTCCTCACCCTCCTCTTCTTCTTCTTCTTCTTCCCTTCCACCTCCCCTCTTCTTCTTCTTTTTCGCCTGCCTCACCCTCCTCCTCTTCTTCTTCTTCTTCCCCTTCCACCTCCCCCTCTTCTTCTTCTTTTCCGCCTTCCTCAACCTCCTCCTCTTCTTCTTCTTCTGCTTCTTCTTCTTCTGCCTTGTTATCCATTTCTTCCTCATCCTTTTCTTCTTCTACTTCTTCTTCTTCTTCTTCCCCTTCCACCTCCCCCTCTTCTTCTTCTTTTTCCCCTTCCTTCCTCCCCCTCCTCCTCCTCTTCTTCTTCTTCCGCTTCTTCTTCTTATGCCTTGTTATTCATTTCTTCCTCCTCCTCCTATTCTTCTTCTTCTTCTTCTCTCCCTCATGTCGTCGTCTCCTCTTCCTTTTCCTCTTTTCGTTTCCCCTCTGTCAAACTTTGCTTCTTTTTTTCTCCGCCACTTCATATGCGTCACGGCCCAATATACTCCTCTCCAAAACTTAGCAGTGCCCCCACCTCGGACCTTTACTCCAGCCCCACGTTCGACTATTAATTCACGCCATCTCGCCAGGTAGGTTCTTATCTCGCTGCTTTTTCCTATCTCCCTTGCTTTCCGTGGGATACGGTTTTGAAGCCCTCCACCCCACATTATGTGACCAAGAGATTCGTGATGTCTTTTCTGTTTTCAGGTTTCTTTATTGTAGTCATTTTCTTTCGCGCTGCCATCGCCATTAAAAAGATCCGCTTCATATGTAGATACATGCTCACTCTCTTTCCAGGTGCACAGGTACAGGATTATACACATGGGATTGGAGTCTAATGAGTTCGATTCTTGTTGCATGCCTTACGCTTATAGCATTGTTAAATACTATAACAGTTAAGAACGTTTTGTGCAATTCGCTAGAGAGTAAAAATAAATATGTTCTTTTAACATATCATTGCTATTCTTTCGTATTTCGGAGGCTTCCTCTTGTAAAAGCACTTCACTTAAAGCCACGTCAATGTTTGGTTACTTTTTTGTTTTCTTTTGGAAATGAACGGGGGTTCCACCATTTTTTGATCTTGTGCCAGACTTAACAAAGCTTAGCTAACTATCATCATTTGCATGTGACACTGAATTTGACTCTCACTCTGTGTCTTACAGTCGCGTAATATGAAGCTAATGTTTCTAAATGACGATAAAGAATGACAAATCTTTAAAATACGTGCTTTTTAATTTGTTATTCATTCGTCAAAACCTATTCTCAGACTTTTCTTCTTCAAAGTCTCAAAAGAAAACCATTGCCTGAGCAGATTCGATATTTTTAAAATTCTTAATTGTAAAGGAAATACTTTTCCTTCTTCCTTCCTCGCAACGTTTTATTTTAATTCCTTTCTTTTAGTAATCGGTCCAAACAAAAACTTCACAATTCGATATGACATTTTAATTCCTTTAACAGTTGTTCTTTCAACGACTTATAGAAGTGAAACCCTTCATTGTCGCTTGAAATTATGTTTAACATCTGCAGAACAAGGGTGAATGCATTAAAGTCACTTATTTTAACTCCAGTGTTCGTTGACGTATTTCGAAGGCTTCTTCTAGTGAAAGCATTCTGCTTAAAGCCATTTTGACGTCAATGTTTTGTATTTTTTTCTTTTCTTTCGCAAATGAAAAACACTTGTATTTACTTATTAACTTATTTTTACTTACATTTACCAGAATTCTTCAAACTCTAATTCTAATAACTCTTTGAATATCTGCTGCATATTTATGCCCGTCTTTCAATTTCACTTCTTTTTATCTTTTAACCGCGGCTCTCTCACAGACCACACACACACACACACACACACACACACACACATATATATATATATATATATATATATATATGTGTGTGTAGAGAGAGAGAGAGAGAGAGAGAAAGAAAGAAAGAGAGAGAACTGTTAAATGCTTAGCAAACTAAACATTTTAAAATACTTCTCTAGGAAAAATTAAAAACAAAATTAGCACGTCTAATTCGATTTTCTCTCCCGATTCGCTCTATTCTGTCACTGCACCCAATAGACAAAGTTTACACGACTCATTAAAAAAGGAATTTGAGACAATTTAATTTCTTTTGTGATTTTTATCGCTTGCACACTTGTTTCGATCGATCAATTCTACGACCATCTTTAACTGTACGAAAGACACGGTTTCTTTTGTTTCAGTCTTGCAAATATAAACGTCAACAGAAGATATTTTTAAAAATGTTGCTTCCAACCATCCGTAGAGTACAGAATGTTTGCTAATTTTTAATCTAAAAATGTTCCCGTTTTGTTTCTCTGTTAAACAAAGAAATCAATCCCATACCTCGGTTGAGCAAGGAAAGCAATGCCATATTTTAATCCATTCTGGCTTGACTTAAGCACTGAGCTGACAAATTGGCGCAGTTTTCTCATTTCCTTTTAATGTTTTCTGTCCATTATTCTGATCTCCCTCCCAAAGCGCCTACTCTTCCAGATATGATCTGTCAACCCAATTGTTTCCAATTCTTTCGCTATGACCTGTTTGGGAAGATCCATTAGCGTTTCAAATTTTGTTCGGACAATACAATTCCTTCGTGATTTCATATTATTAACAGTGTATCGGCCGATAATCTCTTCGAGTTTTAGGCGTATCATTTATAAGGAAAATTGCTAGTCCTACGCCCAAACGTTTTCAGTTTTCCTTCTCCTAGACTGGTTGCTAACCAAGGCTAGACAGCCAAGTCTGCCTAGCTATTAACCCATAGCTGAGGTGAGAAAAGATAGATTCATATTGTTTGTAAGTGACAAAGCAATGTTCTGTCCGTTCAACTAGGCAATCGCTCTAATGAACAAAGACGATCACATGAGGCTCTTAACCCAGCCTTTCACCATAATGCTATGCAACCTAGTGGGGGCTAGGTGGAGTGTGGAGTGTGTCGCTGCTGAAGTTTGCATGCAACACGAGGGAAACTGGTGCCTGATACATTTATCTAATTCTTATTGCAGATCGGTTGCACTTCTTTTCTATATGATTGTCATATTTTTTCCCGGGGTAATGGATTTTTCCGGCAGGAAAACGTAATCCTACAATCCTACGCAAATGTCACGTAACTGCCTCTAGGAATATTCAGCTGACTTCCATTATCCACCATGCTCGCTAGATTCTAACCTCATTGGCCCTCAATGAATTTCGTTAGAAACAAAGAAAATGTTGAACTGTTATGTAATATCTGGTACGGAATTTCAAATAAACAGTACGAGATGATTTTGTAATAAACGGTTTCATAAAATTAATGTAAATGGTAGATAGCTTTTACGTGTCCGTGCGTGTGTGCGTGTATGTGAGAGTACATTAATATGTAGAGGCCTGAACGTGCATTACATTTTTTCTAATTTCATTTGATTAAGTGTATAGGGTTAGACTTAAAGATTTTTATATAATAGTAAGAATAATGAATATATTTTTTTTTATGAAAAGTAATGTAAGTGGTAAGGTTTACTTATCGAATTAGTATTTAAAACGTAAAACATTGGATTGAGCTTTGCAAGAACAAGTCCATCTTATCTCGTTATGAATTCCTGGGAAATAGCGCGAATCAAAACCGGATGAAGCAAAAGACAAGACTGTATAGAAGGGAAGGGGGGAAAAGCCTTTATTTCACTGGCTGATGTTGACTGACGTATTTCAATAAGAACCGTCGGAATCCTAGCGATATCTGAATTTTTTTTGCAATGTCAAGGTATGTAGCACGACGCTATTGAGGAGGTGGCCTGACTCTTTTGGAATCAGGTCGGGGTTTCTGTTTGAGCCAATATGATGCAAAACCCGAAATCGGCAATGAAGACAGTGCATCACTGAAGATCATCCTTGATGAATCTGAAATGTATTACTCTAATCAGTGTTTCTGTATGGATAATCCCCTCACAAGATGACGAAGATTTGAGGCAACAGGAATGTTGTTCTACAGAAAGATGCTGAGAATGTGAGAAAGGAGGAAGTTTTAAGGAAAGAAATGACGACGATTGATGAATGAATTTATATTTAAAAATATAAAAATTAAAAAAAACCATCGAAAAATAACCATGAAACATTTAAGACATATTATCATGTAATATGAACGGTTATCAATTGCGTAAGAATCAGAGTTATTTGCCCTTAGTTTTTACTTGTTAGGATGATTCTTTTGAGAATCTAAATGTTTCGATAATTATCGAGAAAAGGGTTAATGGGAGATCTCTCTGAACGATTTCGAAAATTATGTTTCAAAATTATGTGTAAAACTGTATAAAGTATCAGATTAAGCTAGATAATGCATTATTGGCTCAGGGATTGAGCAAATTGATGTGCGGTGGACATATCATGTGCGGATATCAGCACAGAAGTTGGAGCTGAATTCGAATTCAGCGCCATGTCGTTGCATTCACTTTCACACTACGGCACTTGAGAACACAAAGGAAATCTCTGAATTTCAAACTGAAGAGAAGACAATAACTCCACTATATATCCCAAAAAACCCTGCCAATTTACATATAATTAAAAAGAAAAAAAAAGAATCTTCGAAAAGTTAGGATCACCTAAATCTTGAAGAGACATTTTGTCTTTTAAAAAAGATAAAATTACCGAAATTCTATTTATGGTAAATAACGATCATCGCCCGTCTTGTGATTTAGAAGATAAAATGAACAGAGAAATGATAAAATGAATAAAGGGATAATTAAATGAATAGAGGAATAATAAAAGGAATAGAGGAATAATGAAATAAATAAAGGGATAATAAAATGAATAGAGGTATAATAAAATGATTAAAGGAATAATAAAAGGAATAGAGGAATAATGAAATAAATAAAGGGATAATAAAATGAATAAAGGAATAATAAAATGAATAAAGGAATAATAAAATGAATAAAGTAATAATAAAATGAATAGAGGAATAATAAAATGAATAAAGGAATAATAAAATGAATAAAGGGATAATAAAATGAATAAAGGGATAATAAAATGATTAAAGGAATAATAAAATGAATAAAGGGATAATAAAGTTCGCAGAAAAATTATTTTTAACTTTGCCGATGTTTTGAATTCTGAAATTGTGGTCAAGATGAAGAGATGTGAATGACTTTGATAAAAGTCAAATTATTATTGCCAAACGGATAAGATCATAGAAACGTGTCATATTGGGTAACTATCTGTAGTAGTCAGAGTGTGGGAAGCTCACTAAGTATTGGAAAATCAAGGGATCTTTCCACGCATAGAATGAGACAACAAAAGGAATACTCTTACAAAAATTGCAAATATCTTTAATCAATGTGAAGGAAGAAATACGTCAAAATACACTAAAAAATAAAATCTTTGTTGCTTATGGAGCTGCGAAATTGTGGCGTCGTTACAATACACATTCTAAGTAATGTGCACCTTAGAAATAGTCTTTAGTAGGAATGTGAATCTCTGAAGATCTCCTGGTCTGATACGTCTGACTTTATCGGGAAAATCATGATCCGCTAGATAAGTATACATCGTTATCAGGAAGAGGATATGGGACCAGGATATACTGTGGTAAAGCAACAACTTGTTGAGGGAGCTTGACAAATAAGGAAACGACTTCATAGAAAGTAAAGGTTTCTATCATTCATATTGAAGGTCTTTTGACACGTACTACCTGAAGAAGTTCGCGTAAACTCCTTCAAAGTAACAACTTTTAGGCGGGGATAATTCACCCTGACACCTTACACGAGCTGAACGTGAATAGCATAAAGAAGACTTGTTTTCCACTGAGCAATTAAATTCCCTAAATCTCAATATGAATGAAACTTTTCCGTTATATGTTTAGTTTAAGATATTAGTGACACGTTGGTAGTTCTAACTAAAGAAAAACTTTTTTTAATATCACAGTTTAACGTCATCCTTGGAGTTTTAAACACGCAAGCAGACGAGCAATGAACTTTATATATTTCATTATTTTCCAGTATTTCGTGCGGACAAACGTAATAAATTAGATTTGTGTATGAGAAATAGAAAGCAAATTTTCGATCTGAATGATTTCATATGTACATCCATTACGTCTATATCTTTTGTTAACACAATTTTCCTGTAATTGTTTTATAAATCTTATAAGGATGTTCTTTATTTGACTATTTTTCTTAATGCCGATTACGGTAAGGTATTATTAATGTGTAAATAAATAGAGAAATAATAAATAATAGAAAAGTGAATGTTTTAGATAAATAATGCAATTTTTGATCTCGAAGAGATTTATTTTAATCGGTTGACAAGAAGTAGAAAAGAACGAAAGCCGATAAAATTACTGATAAATATATTCAGATTAAAACATAAAACTTTACATAAAAAGAGGAAAAAAATGTACATACATTGTTACATAATATTTAGGAAAACGTTTAATAACATCTTCACAAACGCCACATCTGTCGTATATTTAGGTAGCATTTCTTCTTTTATTCATGTTTTATTCAATGTGAAAGACAAGGAAAGTTTATTTTTACTTTTCATTCAGTTTTCTTTTATGAAGACTAACATTCTGGAGAAAGGTTCCATTACGATTATTGTCCAAAAGCACTTTCAGCTAATTCTTTAGCTATTTACAAGAGGTTCGTTGTTAGTAGAGTTGTTTTGTATTTGTATTATAAGCAGTGTTGTATAGAAGTATTAGTAATTCTATCTATCTATCTATCTATCTATCTATCTATCTATCTATCTATCTATCTATCTATCTCTTTTCATATCTGTCTATCTATCTATCTATCTATCTCTTTTCATATCTATCTATCTATCTATCTCAATTTGTTCACATCTATCTATCTATCTATCTATCTATCTATCTATCTATCTATCTATCTATCTCAATTTGTTCACATCTATCTATCTCTTTTCATATCTATCAATTTATCTCAATTTGTTCACATCTATCTATCTATCTATCTATCTATCTATCTATCTATCTATCTATCTATCTCAATTTGTTCACATCTATCTATCTATCTATCTATCTATCTATCTATCTATCTATCTATCTATCTATCTATCTAAACTTTCATATTTTGCCAACAGATGGTAACCACACTAAATGTTGGCTGTAATCAAAATTCCTATTTTTTGGATGCTTCCGGGTCCATTAGATTAAACTCAGATTAAAATCATTTAAAATAAATTTTAAATGCGCATTGCTCTCGGCAAAATGTCTCTTGTACATGTCATTTCACATAAAAAATGTTTTGTTTATGACAACCAAAATAATATTTTTTCCGTTTTTTTTATATATTTTAAAGACTGCTCCAAATTATATCAGATCGATTCCGAGAATCTCATCAGATATATTTTGAATAGTTGATGACTTTTTATATATTTTCTCTTCTTCTAGGTTTAACCTCTCATCACAAAATCAATATTATCCATTTGCACCAAACACTTTCTCTTCTACCCGACAACGACGAAAGAAGGGGGTGAAATCATCGCAATTTTCAATGATGGTCATCATTAAATTATGCAAGATACATAGACAAAACTTTGTATACTGTTTCACAGTATTTATTATTTTGTACCAATATGCCTAATGTTTGTTACTACGCTAATGTAAGTGGAACATTAGCAATTTCTTACAGCATTCGAACGAAGCTTATGATTACGTTGAGTTATAAATAGTTTCCGATTTTTTTTTAATCGAATTTATTCTACAAAATTAGATTTTATTCAATTATATATACCTTTTTATTTGCAAAAAATTGTGGTCAAGTATCAGGCAGTTCTTCAATATCTTTTGAGTAAATTTCGGCAGGTTTACAACGTTTCCTTGAATCTGGTTTTCAGTTGAGAAAAATTGCCTAATCAAAGCATTTTGAAAAAGGTTGGTGAAATGAACTTTCACCAACCTTTTTCCAAATATGGCGGGTGCCGTAGAACAGATTAACGTCGTTTTTAGGCTTTCATGTTGGCTTCTGTCATTTACAAAATCTGATCCACAATCATTGTTTCCCAAAGAGGCGGCTTTAACTGTTATTTGTTTGTTTTTTTTTTTATAGTTTTTGTCTGTTTTTTCTTTGATATCGTTCATGTCGATCTATTTGTATTTGACTTCAATAGTGTTTTTGTCAGATTATGTCCGTCCCGCTCGGTGTACGTTTTTGTATTCCTTTTGTATCTGTTGACTGCATCCAGTCATGATGGGCTTAACAATCTTATATCTCCCCCACACACACACAGGCGCAGGCGCATTTACTGTTTCCCTTTTTTTCATTGTTCAAACAATCAGGGTTCACAACCGTAGTAACTGTTAGTCTCTATTGGTAAATAAATATCAATGACATTTCTAAATAAAGAGAAGGAGAAAGGAGAGAGAGAGAGAGAGAGAGAGAGAGAGAGAGAGAAAGACAGTGAGAGAGAAAAAGCGAGAGAGAGACCCAATGATAGAAACAATTTTTCCTCTATTTTCCTGGTTTCAGACAAACAGGATCGATCGCTTGGCAATTCATTGATTTTTATGTAGCAAATAAATGACGTAGATGTAATAAAATATGTAGCAAATAAATATGTAGATGTAATAAAATATGTAGATAAAATATGTAGATGTAATAAAATATGTAGCAAATAAATATGTAGCAAATAAATAAACGTAGATGTAGTAAATGATGTTACTGACACAAAACTAATATATATATATATATATATATATATATATATATATATATATATATATATAAAAAGTAAGAGGTTATAGTAGTTCCAAAGAGAGAAAGGTGTGTATAATAAAAAGAAGAGAGAAACCGCAAACGTTTTTGGTTGAAATGTGGATGTTTTAAAAAAATATGCTTTATTTTCCATAATTTTGCTACACGGGTTTCCGGTCTCGCGGCCGTCATCAGTCAAAGGGTGGAGTTTTCCACATATTATTAAAAATAATTAATTTTTTTTCTTTATGTTTTTCGATGTTAAATATTCTTGATGTGAGACATTCTCTTTTATGTGTTAGTGAGCCAAACGTCTTTCTTGAACTGGCAGTGAAAAGTTCTACGTGAAGGTTTATAAAGCAATGAAGATTGGTCCGAGAAATGATGGAGCAGTTATCGGTATTCTTATCTTTTAATGACCCCTGTGTGTTCTTAGATCTATATCCATTGTCGTGTGCTTTTGTCAGCGTGTGTGTATATATGTGTATATCCCCTCTACGAAGAATCAGTAAACACATCTGTACACCCACACACATATACACAAACACACATACACAAGCACACAAACACACACATACCGTCCCATTACAAGGAATAAGTACATGCACACACACACACATAAGTACATACACATACTTCCCAAGTTACATGGAATCAGTACACACACACAGAGACATGCATACACACATATATACGTGCACACATACACACATACTTCCTAAGTTGTGTGGGGTTTGTGTGCGTGCCTGTGAGTAGTTCTCCTGCTTTTGTCAATATGTGTATATATATATATATATATATATATATATATATAATCGTGCTCCACAGCTACCCGCATGTGAACGTGCGTGCATGCATGTGAGTTGATTGATCACTGTATTTGGCCATTATGTGTGCATGTTGTGTGCTTTTGCGAGTGGGGTTATGATCTATTTAGTTCTGGTTTAAATTTGTTTATGAAGTTTTTTTCTTGTATTTGTAGGTAAGAATAATTGTCTGTTTGATATATTGGCATAATTTTAAATTTTCCTGGTTACATTTGAAGATGTGTTGTGATAAAAAAATGTTTTCTGTTGTCTGGTAATATCCCCCATGAGGATTTTCAGAAAATGAGGCAATCATCTAGGTATCTTTTCCAAGATTTAGTGAATTGGGTTTTTATATTTTCGCCATATATTTGTTCTATCCTTTCACAGAGGTTTTCTTCTAGGTAAGCTAATGTTACGGTGGCATATGTTGGTACCATTTTTTTTCTCATTGCAGTACCCAGGGTTTGGATATAGTTTTTGTTCTCAAATTCAAAGGTGTTATTGTTTAGAATTAGGTCTATACTATCGATAATGAACTCTTTAGTGAACCTCAGATGTAGTATTTCTGGATGTTTTTCGATCCGGAATAAGATTGCCTTTTTACCTAGTTCATGGTGTATGTTGCTGTATAGACTACTAATGTCAACGGCTGCTATAAGTGTTCCTAGATAAACCTTTTGTGGTATGCAGCTAAGGAAATGAATATCGTCTCTGATGTGCCTTTTAATTCGCTTAGAAAAACAGCCTGGATGTTGAGAAGGAATCCACCCTGAGCAATGGTGACTCCGGACAACAGTTTGTTCAATTCTTCGTCATTACGGATGGCCAGTTGCAAGTTACGGGGGATAATTCTGGATTTCCTGTTGTCTCTAGCAGCATTTCCTGCCAACTCAAGAACCTCAGCGGCCAAATATTCCATAACTGCTGCCAGGTAGACGGGGGCACCAGCACCGACTCTCTGGGCGTAGTTTCCTTCACGCAGGAGACGATGGAGACAACCAACGGGGAACTGAAGTCCGGCACGGGATGAGTGTGTCTTGATCTTTCCCTTAACTTTATCTCCCTTACTACGTCCAGATATATTTAAACAGGCAAAATCATATATTTTTGTTTTAATAAGGTAACCCTTTTTGGTAAACATTTCATTAGAAGAATCGTTGGCGATTCATAAAATGTTAACAAGAATTTTGGGGTGATAGACAAACAGGGAGGAAAAGGTGAACTACGATTAAAATACAATTTAATATTAAAAAGGCGAGAAAAATAAAAGAGGGGCAAAATGGAAAAAAACAAAATAAACAGTTTCAGTGAGTTTTAAAAGGAAAATATAGACTCATATTCGACCCAGTAATGAAGGAGAACGAATAAATTTGTAAATAGTGTGCATAATACCCCATCTAATAAATATAGACAGATACTGAAGGGCCGAAACGTTGTAATAAGTATGGCGACAAAGATGAGGACAATAATCCGAATAATGTAAATAGTGTACATAATACCTCATCTCGCTGTTTTAACATATTACAAATAATAACCATTACCACCAATCCAGCTACTACGGCAACAAATGAGAACAATGGACGTCAGTTATCAGTTATCCCCTTGTTAATTCCCCTCTGAAAGGTCTCCACTGCCTTATCCGAGTATTGAACTCACACTCTTTGGGTCCTGTCACTGGATCTAACTAACGCCTTTATCCACTGTGGAGAACCTTCAGAGGGAAATTAACAGGAGATAACTGATAACAGACATCCATTAGACATGGCACGTGGAACTAGAACAGTCTACCCCAGTGAGCGAAATAAAGGGTTCAGTTCGACATTCCAACCACCTGAAGCAGGGCGGAAATAATATTGACAGATACTGAACTGCTAAAACGTTGTGAATATGGCAATGAAGATGAGGATAACAGTTTGAATAATGTAAATAAATCAAAAAATGGAGTGTGTCAAGAGATTTTTAACTCAAAAAAATTGTCTAGTCTTTTCTAATACATATATACATATATACTGAATGACTATTATTAATTTTTCCAATCTCCTTTCCAGGTGCCATAGTTATGAAATTATTTTTTCCATATCGTTGGGTTTGTCAGAGTTATTAGCACTTTAACCAAACGTATATTACTCCGTCTTTTCTCTTCATACAAAGTCTGTCAATGTTTTCATTCGTGTATAGGCGCTTATGTATGATTATTGATTTTTTACTACTTTGATGCATCCAGGACTAGTGTAAAGTTAGGAATCGACCAGCATGTCTTACTCATTCTGCTATGTTGTCTAATTTCCCTCGTTGCTCTGACATATTTCCAGTGCTTCGAGCTTTAAAAAAATACTCGCTGTGATATTTTCCATTTAAGGGGATTACGTATGTCGATTTCTGTTTTCCCTTTCTTATCTGTAATATTGTAATGTTCGATTCTAAATTTTGCCTCAGACTTAACTGAACAGTTGCCCGTACGGTTTTATTTTGAGTAAATTATTTCAGGTCATCTGCATTTAGTATTTAATATTGTTTGATTTGGGGTTCAATTCCTTCTGCTGCTTCTTGTTTTGCT